GCCTTGTCCCGCTGTCCTGCCCCCACCTCGGGCTGTCCCCAAGGGCCACCACCTGCCTGTGCCTCGGAGGAAACCGCAGCCAGCTCTCACTGACACAGTCAGGATTTCTGGTGGATGGAGAGGAGCTATTTGGGGAGGGAAATGGGCCGGGGCAGGACCAACCCCCCCGTGGCCTGGGGGAGGCAGACGGGCCTTTCCCAGAGCACTGGCCTGCACACGGGCCTTCACCATCCCCTCCCACCTCTGCAGGCAGAGGGACCCTGTCGGACGAGCACGCCGGCATCATCTCTGTGCTGGCCCAGCAGGCGGCCAAGCTCACCTCCGACCCCACCGACACGCCCGTGGTGTGCCTGGAGTCGGATAACGGGTGAGTTCCCAGCTCCGAGTGCCGCTGGCCCTTCCCCAGCCCTGGGAGCCCCCTGGAGTCATCCCTGGAGCAGCTCCTCGTCGGGAGGAGGAGGGGGAGGCGGGCACTGCCAGAGGCAGAGTCATCGGATTAAGGGGATTTGAAGAGGCAGGAGGTGTAAAAGCAGTGGGAAAACTTTTGGGGGATGGTGGTTACGGCAGCTCGGTAATTCCTGCCCCCTTGGGATCCCTGTGGATATCCAGGGCTGGATCCCTGTGGATATCTCCAGGGCTGGGATCCCTGTGGATATCCAGGAATGGGATCCCTGTGGATATCCAGGGCTGGATCCCTGTGGATATCCAGGGCTGGATCCCCGTGGATATCCAGGAATGGGATCCCCGTGGATATCCAGGGATGGATCCCCGTGGATATCCAGGAATGGATCCCTGTGGATATCCAGGGCTGGATCCCTGTGGATATCCAGGGCTGGATCCCTGTGGATATCCAGGGCTGGGATCCCTGTGGATATCCAGGGATGCGTCCCTGTGGATATCCAGGGATGGATCCCTGTGGATATCCAGGGCTGGGATCCCTGTGGATATCCAGGGCTGGATCCCTGTGGATATCCAGGGCTGGGATCCCTGTGGATATCCAGGGATGGATCCCTGTGGATATCCAGGGCTGTCAGAGTCAGTGGGGCACAGGGACATCTCCATTGCTGCTCATGGAGTGGGGAGAAGGAGCAGGCGAGGTCTGGGGTGGGGATGGGCCTTGTGGCTGCTCAGTGATTCCCCTGCCCACCTCCCACCCCCAGCAGCTGCTCCTGTCCCAGCTGCCCTCCCTCAGCACTTTCTCCTTGCTGCAGGAACATCATGATCCAGAAGCACGACAGCATCACCGTGGCAGTGCACAAACTGCTGTCCTGAGCCCAGGGAAGCAGCTCTGCTCCTGGCTCCTCCTCCCTGCACTGCCACGCTCCCTTTGGAGCTCCACACCCAGGATGAAGGCTCTCCCTCCCCTCTCACCAGCTCCTGGGCAGCTCCCGGGTCTCCAGCTCACATTTTAGCCCTTGTGCTGCTGAGGGTGATCCGTGGGCACGGCCCCAGGCCCTGTAACGAGCAGATCCTCCCTGCTGTATGTGGGGGGGCCTCGTTTGTCAGAGAAATCAATAAATGACCTGTAAAAAACCTTCCTTCCTTCTTTTTGCTCTGGCTGGGAGAGCTGGGCCTGGTGCTTCATTTCCAAAGGCAGGCAAGGTAACTGCTCCCACTCCCTTCATTAGCATTCCTCTGCAGAAAGACTGGAATTCGTGGAGGCTCCTCCAAGAGAAAAGGTACAAATGCTTTCGGAGGAATTTCTCCTAGGAAACATTTCACCTCCTCAAGTTAAACATTCTGTGGGAGTTACACGCTCGCTGTGCCTTGGGTTGAAGTTCAGACCTGTACGTGCTGGCCCTGCCAGGGCCCTGGGAGCTGGAGAGGGATCTTGGCAACATCCTCAAAAATCCAGGCCCCCTCTGCCTCCGGTGGGGTGGAAACGCTGCAGGGAAACAATCCTGCAGAAAGGTGGGAATTGCTATACCCCAATGGTTCCTGTGTGCTGGGGAGGGAAAAGGAGCTGGGCTGCAGCTGCAGGAAGGGGCAGTTTCAGAGTAGAGCATGAGGTAAAAGCTGGCCTGAGTCAGAGTGAAATGGCATTGCCACTGCTCAGACTTTACTCCTCGGAGCAGCTCCGCTGGGCAGTGACAGTCACAGGCTCACACAGGAGTAGCCCCTGCCTGGCCAGGCTCCACGCTCCCTTCCAGCTCAATGTTCATCTGGAGTAAAGCCCTGGTCTTGGCATGTTCTCTGTGCTGGCCCTGGGGAGTCCTTGTCCCTCCCCCTCCACCCCTGCAGGAGCAGCTGGAGCTGGAGTTTCCCCCCCGGGCACCCAACAGCTCTGAGCGCTGGTGCCGCTGTCCCTCTGCCCCCTCCTGCAGCCCCTCAGCCCACACTGACTACAGATCTCATCCTGCTTCCAGAAAGCTCAATGTACCGATGGGAATTCCTCCTGCAGGGAAAGCTCCTCCAGGGGCTCCCATAGATCCTGGGCTCCACCAGAGCAGCGCAGCTCTTGCATTCTTTGCCAAGGGAGAGCAGAGAGCATCGCTGTCCCCACTGCTGCCGCTTTTCCGCGGTGATTGGGGTGACAGGTCAGCCGGGGAAGGGAGGGAGCAGTAGGGCTGTGTTTACCCGGGAGTCTGGGCACATTTACAGGAGCCAGCGCCGCCCCGGGGCTGTGTCCAGCTGGAAATCACCGACTTCTCCAGCCTGTCCCCGCCTGGCTCCAGCCCATCACTGCCGCCCCAGCTCTGCTCTGGAGAGATCCAGAGCTTTCCCCGGAGTCAGAACTTTGCAGGCTCCCCCTCCTTTTCCTTCCCAACAGGATTTCTGCTCCAAACGCCCCGGGTTTCCTGTTCCCAGCTGGGGAAGGGGAGGGACTGCCGGCCTTGGGGCCTCAAGTCAAGCTCTGCCTCCAGAGAGGAGGAGGAGGAGGAGGAGGATGGGCTCTGTCCCCCCAGCGCTTGCCAGGCTCCATGTCCTGCTCCGGACAGACACCATCATCCTCAGCGGGTGGGAATGAGGAGCAGACTCTGGCTGCCAAGTCAGGAAGGGGGGATTTCATCTCTGGAGTAAATGAAGAGACTCTGAAGGGATTTCTCTTCGCTGTCGTCCGCTCCGGGGAGGATTTTGCAGCATGCAGCAGCAAGGCGGTAAGGAAAAGTTCCAGGATCGTCATCCCCAGGTGCTGTAGGGTCCAGCTGCCCCCTGGGGCAGGATCCTGCCTCTGCCAGGGGCACGGGCTGGGTGAGAGGATGGAAGGGAGACAGGCAGAGAAAGATGGAGTGGGAAGAGCTTTCCGGAGAGCTCCGAGGTGGATCCAGACTGACACCGACCCCCGGGCTCCCGGCACTAAGGCACCCGAAAAGCTGAAGTGGGCACAGTCATTTGGTGGGAATGAGAAAGAACATGAACCTGTTTGCAGACAGGGAGGAGGTGGAGTTGTCAGAAAGGTTGGGGAAAGCATCACCCAGGTGAGTGCAGAGTGAGGTGCCTGCCCCACGGCAGCACTGCCCGCAGGGAATGGCTCGTGGGTGGAAGAGGAGCAGTGGAAGGTGTTGATGTGGCCTGACATTCTCACCAGCAGGGCACAGGAAGGAGGATGAAGAGGCTCCGGAGGCTCCGTCAGCCGGGAAGGGCCGAGGCACCGCAGCAGCAGCCGGAGGGTGGGCGTGGGGAGTGGTGTTTCACTTCTTCCTGGTGAGCAGGGGATGGAGCGAACCTTCCCGGAGCTGGGGCAGGGGGAAAGCTCCAGCCTCCCTCGGGACACGACAGGCTGATCCCAGCCATGCCAGGGCAGGGGGAAAGCTCCAGCCTCCCTCGGGACACGGCAGGCTGATCCCAGCCACGCCAGGGCACAGTCCGGCCACGCCATTCCCTGTGGAATGCCTCGGGCTCGGGGATGAGGAGGGTGCCCTTGCCAGGATAAATGACTTTTCCCTCCTCAAACACTTCACCACGGGGGTGTCAAACCCCAAAGGGCTGTTCTGTCCCTTCGGCAAGGGCGTGATCCCACCCTGGGCAGGGAGCTGGGAGCCAGGGAGCAGCACAAACGCTCGGGTACTCTCTGGGAACCTCAGCACCAGTTAAAGGCACCAATCCTCTGTGCCCCAGGCTTTATCTTCCCACCAGTGATCAATCAAGGAATTGTGAAGCTTGGAAATGACCTTTAAGGTTACTGAGTCCAACCTTAAAGAAAGCACCATCCCCCGAGCTGGGAAAGCTTTCCTCACTTCAAATCCACCCCGAGTAACTCCCTGCCAATCATTAAACACCAGGGAGACAACAGGAGTTAAAATTAAGGTCACAAACTGTCTGTCCTTTGCCCCTGTGGCAGACAAATCCTGGGAAACTGCCCCAGATGTTGTCCACTCCTGCTGCCCTCATCCCCTCATCAACTCCCAGCCACCTGCCAAGGATCCATTCCCACTGCAGTACTAAAAAGTAACTTAAAAGGTGAAAGTATCCCCGCAGAGATGAGCTCCAGCGTTACTTTGTTCCTTTCCTTTGGAAAGGCAGTTTGGGGAGGGTTTCTGAGATCAAACTGCAGCATGGCCAGGACCAGCCCACCCTGCTGGCATTCCCCAACACCGGTTCAAGTGTCCCAGTTTGTTTCTCCCACACCACCACAAAAAAAAAAATAAAAATAAAAAGCAGAAGGAAAAGCTTTTCCTTCCTCCCAATCCCCTGTGGCACCTGACCTTCACCCCTCTCAATTCAGGTCAATGTGCTTGTGATGGGGATGCTCAAGACCTTCGGGATTTTCTTCGTGGCTTTCCGAGAGGAGATGGGGGGATCATCTGAGCAGGTCAGCTGGATCGGCTCCATCATGTCCTCCCTGCGCTTCCTCGGAGGTGAGCTGGAGTTCCCGAGGCTTGGAGCACTGCTGCAGCCTCTCTCTGACCTGGGGGCACTGAGGATGCTCTGTGGACCCAATTCCCATCCCACACTGGACATGGCTGGCACCCACACGTGTCTGAGCAGGAATGGGCTCTAAACACAGGGCCCTTCAGATGGGATGGCGGCAAGAAATTGGAAATTGGGAAGAAATCCTTCCCTGTGAGAGTGGGAGGCCCTGGCACAGAGTGCCCAGAGCAGCTGTGGCTGCCCCTGGAAGTGCCCAAGGCCAGGTTGGACAGGGCTTGCAGCAGCCTGGGATGGTGGAAGGTGTCCCTGCCAGGGCAGGGGGTTGGAACTGGATGAGCTTTGAGGTCTCTTCCAACCCAGACCATTCTGGGACCCCCTGAACTTGACTGTAGGTTTCTTGTACAGATCCAGAGCAAACAACGCTCTTGTCCAGCTGTGGAATAATTTGGAGCTGCTGGGCATGCTGTGACTGAGGAAGGAGGCTCAGGAGAGCTGAATGTTTGGGCTTTGCCTCCTTCCCTGCCCCTTTCCCGAGCTCCCAGGGTACAGCAAAGCCCCTCTCCTGACCATGAGCCCATCCCAACCCCCCTGTCACCCCCTGCCTCCCAAGGACCACTTCCCAGTGCTCCCACCCAGCCCCCAAGCGCTGCCAGAGCAGTTTTTGTCCCCCTCAGCCTGAGCTGTGTCTGTTTCCCTTGCAGCCCCGCTGGTGGCCGTGGTGTGCCAGCGCCTGGGAGAGAGGCCCACCTCCATCCTCGGGGCCGCGCTGGTGGCCGGGGGCTGCCTGCTCAGCACTCAGGCCACCAGTGTCCCCTTCCTCTGCTTCTCCATGGGATTCCTGCTGGGTGAGACGGGCACCATCAGCTCCTTCAGCCTTAAACCTGGGAAGGGGCTGGAGAGGGAGCAGCCAAGGGTTTGTTCAGCTGGAGAAGAGGAGCCTGAGGTGATCAGGGACAGAACCAAAGGGAAGGGCTGGAGCTGTGCCAGGGGAGGTTTAGGTTGTGTATCAGGGAAAGGTTCTTCCCCCAGAGGGTGCTGGCACTGGCCAGGCTCCCCAGGGAATGGGCACAGAGCTCCAGGAGCGTTTGGACACCGCTCCAGGGACAGGGTGGGACTGTTGGGGTGTCTGTGCAGGGCAGGAGCTGGAGTGGATGATCCTGGTGGGTCCCTTCCACCTCAGGATGTTCTGTGAACCTTCAGCGCCAAAGCGTCCCCAGCTCCTTTCTGTGCGACACTGAACTCCCAAAGCTTCGTGCTCAGAATAAAACACCACTTTCAACATTCCAGTCCCAACTAGGGCTGATATTTTCCCTGGACCTACACAGACTCCTGGCCTTTAAAAATCCCTTATAAAAGGGCAGAGCCTCCAACCCCCACCCCGTGGGACAGAAATCCCCTCCTTTCAGCCTGGGCACACTGCAGAGCCAGGGACTGCGAGCTTGGGATAGCAGGATGTGGAATTGGGCACGGAATTCTCATTTCCACCCTCCCCACAGGGATGGGGTTTGCCTGTCTGTACCAGGCGGCCGCGGTGATGACGGCCAAGCGCTGCCGGGCACGCCTGGCCTTCTCCAACGCCCTGGCCCGCTCCGGGATGGGGCTGACATTCCTGATGGCTCCCTTCACTCAGCTCCTCATCGAGGTCTACGGCTGGCAAGGTGAGGCATCTCCTGCTCCTTCAAACTCCTCGGCTCTGAAAGGGCATTTGGGGAGATTTGGACAGGGCAAGAGGCTCTTTTTAAAAATTCAACACTGAGGAACAGCTCTGCCTCTTTTAGGATAGTTTGGGGATATCTTGTTAATAATTAAACACTTAATCACTCATTAAAATCAGAGTCAAAGCACAGAGCTCAGAAATCAAAACCAGAAATCCCTACTTTAACTGTAGTGTTTCAGGACCATCTTGAAGGTCCATCATGACTTTAAATGAGGAAAAGCAAAACAAGCTCCAGATCCCAGAGAAAGCTGGGCATTTGTTCTGTGCATCACAGCAAAATGAACTTCCAGCTAGAAAAATAAGAATAAAAATCCCTGCTTTGTTAACTGCTCCACAAGGAGAAGGCAAACTCCCTTTTGGGAGTTTGAGAAGTTTGAAAGCAGAGCTTTCTCCATGGTCAGTGAAAACCACACCCTGTTCTACAAAGGCCATTTCCTGCTGCTCCTCCCTTTCCAATCCATGAAGAAAACACCTTTTGCCTTCCCTCAGGTACTCTCCTGATTTTTGGAGGCATCATGTTGAACCTGGTGCCTTCCAGCATGCTGCTGTGGCCCGTCAGCACCCAACCGCCTCAGAAATCTGCCAGAAATCAGCGCCGGGGGTCAGAGGTGGCAAAGAAGGATCCAGAAACTCTGGGTGGATGTTTGGATGGAAGCACTGACAGGGAATTACAGCAGGCTTCCACCACAGGGAGACTCCTGATGCCCCATGGCAGAGATGGCTCTGCCCCAGCCTTGGAAAAGCTCCAGAAACCCAGCCCGGAGCGCTCCTCCTCAGAAACAGCCACCGAGGCCAGCAGAAGCCACAAAGCCCTTGCAGCCCCCACAAAGGAACCTTCTCAGCCTCTCCTGGACTTCTCCCCGCTGAAGGATCCCATTTTCTTCATTTTCACGTGGTCTTTCCTGTTCAGCCACTTGGCCTACTTCGTGCCCCTGTTCCACCTGGTGGCGAGGGCCAGGACGCTGGGCATGAGCAGCAGGGACGGCTCGTACCTCATCGCCGTGGCTGGTAGGCAAAGGGACCCCCACACCCACAGCAAAACACCACCCACGGGGCCCAGAAACGCTCCCAGACACGCCCTGGGATGGCTCCTCCTGGCACAGGTTTCACCCTGACCCCTCTGTGCACACACAGCCCTGGCTGCTGGGTGATCCCAACAAGCCCCAGATTCCAGTTACATGGTGCTCTCTGTCCTTCTGGAGCCTTCCCACCACCGTCCCAGCTGTGCTCAAAGCCACCAGAATCCAGAGGGGAATCCAGAACCCTCCAGAGTGTGACCCAGGAGGGGAAAATCCTATATTGGAGGAAAACCCCCCATATTAATGTGGATCCAGGCATCTGGATTTGGATTTCCAACTCCAAGTGGGGAAAAAAAAACAAGGCCCACTCCCCAAAAACCAAACCCATGCCCGGTGATAAACCAGGATTAACACTAAAACCACGCTGGGGTAAGGAAGTGGCTCCAGCCTCAGTCAGCAGGAAATATTTTATTGTACAAAAATACATTTTATTTCTGCAGTGCTGGGGAATATTCAGCAGTGAGGGGGTGTCGAGGTGTGAGAAGAGCCCAGGAATTAACGGGACATTTGGAATTAGGAGTGGGAGGGACACAGGGGTCAGTGGGGCACGAGAGCTTCTGGATCTTTGCTTCATAAATTGCACCAAGAAACATAAAAAACAACTCTCAAAACCCCAATAACTGAAAGGCTGCTGAGCCTCTAAAATGCCTGCGTTTCTGTGCTCTTTGGTTTTGTAGAGAAACTAAAATCTCAGGTGCATTTTTCTTTCTAATATTCAGCTTTTTTCTCCTTAGCAAGTTCCTCTGTCCTGATTTAGGGAATTTCAGAGGTGTCTGGGCTGCAGAGCCCTGGAGGGAATTTTTCCAGAGCACTTTGGTGCCCTTGGGAAGAGCAGCACAAGGGAAAAGGAGAGAAAAAAAATCCCCAATCCATGGATTTTGCAACAGCCTAAAAACACCTGGAACTTTTTGGCATTTTAGGCCTTTATGGTGATGTCATCACAATGAACAGGGAAACTGGGGTGTGACACAGGCAAATAATAGAAATAATATGGAATAATGGAAATAATTAATATTATAAAAATCAGTAATAAATAAGAAATATAATAATTTAAAACTTTAAATTATTATAAACTTTAAATAAAAAAATAAATAAACATATATGAAAATAATGTATATGATAATAGAAAATAATACAAATAATTATAAAACAAAATAAATATAAATATATTTATATAAATATTTATATATAAATACAAAATAAATCTAAAAATAAATTATATTACTGTTAATTTAAATAATGAAGTGTAATAGGCAATGTATAATAATATAAATAATATAACAATATTAGAATATATAATATGTAATAGCATATTGAATATATGAACATATATTAATATATAGTAAAAATATAAAAATATTAAAATATGCAAATACTAAATAATAAATAGAGTAATCTGGAGATAAGAATAATTTAACTAAATGAAATAAAGTTAATTATATAAAATAATACAGATAATATGAAAACATCCTATGATGTAATATATTATACTATACTATAATAACTGTTCAAAGAAGAAAAGAGACTAAAGAATGAGAGAAACATGATACAATATATGATATTTTACATATACATATATAAGTTATGATTATTTTGTATTTTTTGTATAATTTTCTATTATTTCTATAATATATAATAATATATAAATATAAATACATAAATATATAAATACATATACATATAAAAATATATTTATATATAAATATATATAAATGCATATAAATATATATAAATTTATAAAAATATATAAATATATAAAAATGCATATAAATATATTAAAACATATAAATATAAAATATATAAATATATAAATATATATATATTATATATATTATATATATATATTATATATTATAATATATAATATATATAGCAGAGCGTCCCTGCTATTATATATTATTATTTCTATAATATATAATAATATATAAATATAAATACATAAATATATATAAATACATATACATATAAAATATATTTATATATAAATATATATAAATGCATATAAATATATTAAAACATATACATATAAAATATATAAATATATAAAAATATATGTAAATATATAAAATATATATAAATATATAAAATATATATAAATACATATAATATATAAATATATAAATATAAAATACTCTAAGTATCAATAGAATACATATGCTACACATAATATAATCATAGAAAATATTATAAAATATAGCTAGATTTATAATATCCCATCTATTTACATGAAGTAATAATATAAAAAAATCTCTAGGAATAACAGAATTTAAATCTCACACAAAGACAAGTCTCCCCTGAGGCTCCTGTTCCCTCAGGCATCACGGAGATGCTGAGCCAGCTGCTCTCGGGCTGGGTGGCCGACCACAACTGGACCAAGAAGTACCATTTCCATGTCACCTACCTGCTCCTCAGCGGGGTCACCAACCTGCTGGGGCCGCTGGCCACCACCTTCCCCCTGCTGCTCGCCTACACCGTGGCCTTTGCCATCTTCTGTGGAGGCTTCATGGCTCTGGTGCTGCCCGTGCTGGTGAGTCCTGCGTGCTCAGCCAGGCCTGAGCTGGGGGTGAGGCTCCTGCTCCCAGCCCACCATCACTGGATCACACAGAGAGCTCAGCAGGTCCTGCTGGAGAGCTCGGAGCTGCTGCCAGGGCTGCAGCCTCTCTGCTCTGCAGCCAGCCTGGGAGAGCTGGGAATGCTCACCTGGAGAGGGGAAGGATCCAGGGAGAGCTCAGAGCCCCTTGCAGGGGCTCCAGGAGATCCAGGGGATCCAGGAGAGCTGGAGCTGAAGGAGGGATGGGACACAGGGAATGGCTCCCTCTGCCAGAGGGCAGGGATGGATGGGATATTGGGAAGAATTGTTCCCTGTAAGGGTGATAAGCCCCTGGCACAGGTTCCCAGAGCAGCTGTGGCTGCCCCTGGATCCCTGGGAGTGTCCAAGGCCAGGCTGGACGGGGCTTAGAGCAGGCTGGATTGATGGAAGGTGGGGTGGAAGAGATGTGCTTTGAGGTCCCTTCCAACCCAAACCATTCCAGGATTCTCTGATCCAGGTAGGGAAGCACCATTTATAATTTGGCATTTCTTTCTGGAAGGCATTCAGAGTTTAAAACTCCTTCCCCAAAGTGTGGGCAGCTGGAAGGCAGGAAAAGCATCTCCCATCTCAGTAATTTCCATGCCTGCCTTAAGGAGGCAAACAGGTTCCAGGCTGGATCAGACCTACAGGGGCAAAGTCCTTCCAAAGCTGCAGCTGCAGAGGAAATTCCCCAGAAAAAGAATCCAATCATCTCTTGTGCTTAAAAAAAATATAATAATAATAAAAAAAATCAATCAATCTCTTGTTCCTATACATTCCTATGAACCCAATCACTAATTATTCGTTTTGGTTTCCAACCAGGTGGATCTGGTGGGTGTGGAAAAGCTCCACAGCTACCTGGGCTTTGCTGCCTTCTTCGCAGGGATAGCAGCCATGGGAGGACCCCCTTTGGCAGGTGAGTGATGCTATGTAAAACACACCCCCACCCCAGAAATCCAGGGATAAAACACACTGCTGGTTCACTCTCTTGAAGGGATCCATCCCAGGATGGGTTTTCTGTTCAAACAGATTTTAAAAATAATCCTATTTCAGAAATGTACTTTTATAGACAGGCAACATTTTGTTTGGGAATTAGCAAAATCCAACAGTCAGCTTGGAAAATTCTGCCTGGAATATTTAGAAAATGCTGCCTGGAATATCTGGAAATGCAGGGAAGGCCCAGGTGCAGAGTTCAGCCCTGGCCACAGCAGGAGAACGAGCACATTACCATGGATTTTACTCCCAACAGTGTTTAACACTGAACTTGAACTGCAGGGGAAGCAAGGAGAGGAAGGGAAAGCAAGGACAGGCTCAGCACATTCCCACCAGGCAGAGGCACTGAAACATCAGGACAAGGCTCAGTAATCTCTTGTTTTGACAGAGATTACACAGCTCAGCCACCAGAGCTCTGGGCCCAGAGATAAGGAGTGTGAAAAGCCTTTGCTCCTCTCCCTCTGCCAGGAAACCAAGGCAGCTGTGAGGATTTGGGAGATTTCAAGTGCTTAGAAATGAGTGTCCAGCCCCTGTTCAGGAGGATGGGGACTCGTTCTCCTCCAAACAGCTTGGCCAGGACAAAGCTTTTCCTCCCTGCAGTCCAAGTGTCCCCAGGCTGAGCCCCCAGCGTGGGCAGCAGGGCAGGGGGAGATTCTGCTCTTGGCCCCACTCAGGTGAGACCCCCCCTGCAGAGCTGCCCTGGGGAACAACATCAGGACCTGGAGCTGCTGGAGCCAGCCCAGAGGAGCCACAGAACTGCTGCCAGGGCTGGAGCCTCTCTGCTCTGGAGCCAGGCTCAGAGAGCTGGGGGGGGCTCACCTGGAGAAGGGAAGGATCCAGGGAGAGCTCAGAGCCCCTGCCAGGGCCTAAGGGGGCTCCAGGAGAGCTGGAGAGGGACTGGGGATGAGGGATGGAGGGACAGGACACAGGGAATGACTTCCCACTGCCAGAGGACAGGGATGGATGGGATATTGGGAAGGAATTGTTTCCTGTGAGGTTGGGGAGGCCCTGGCACAGGTGCCCAGAGCAGCTGTGGCTGCCCCTGGATCCCTGGGAGTGTCCAAGGCCAGGCTGGATGGGACTTGGAGCAGCCTGGGACAGTGGAAGGTGTCCCTGCCATGGCAGGGGGTGGAATGGGAGGAGCTTTTGGGCCTTCCCAATCCAAACCATCATTTTTTGTCCCCTGCCCTGAGCCTGCAGAGGCACCTGGCTGGAAGCTGCCAAGGATTCTGTAAATTCCAGCTCCATTCAAAGTTTCGGCAACGCTGGTGTTCCACCAGCACAGGAGAGCATTTATATTCCTAATCAATAGCCCTGGGCTGGTTGTGCTGCTCTGTCTGTGGATGCAATTTCAAAGAGCAAAACACATTTCATTGACAATGAGCTTCCCCCTGGGAATGCCCAGCCTGGATTCCAGATCTCTGCTGCTGGTACAAGGTGTGCATTCAGCACAAAGCCATCCCTCAATCCCACTGGATCCCCTGACAGAAAACACAGCAGGAGCTGAACACCTTGGCTGTCTCATCCAGGCTCACACTGCAGTTAAATTCCCATCCTCTTGCATTATATTTTCAATAATGGGAAGCCTTTTTCGCTCTGCAGTGGGTTTGTAAAGCAAGCAGAAAAAGCTTTCCATAGAAATCAGGCTTAATGCAGGTGGGATAAATAAAGGCCAAATAAAGCCAAGAAGCAAAACACTTCCTGATCCATCTCCTTACAGGCAGAGCAAGATGGAAACAATCCAGAGCTCAGGATCCAGGTTTGGGTCCAAGATAAATTCTGCAATTTTCTCTTCCAATGCACTTTTAAGTGTGAAAACTGAGTGAGACCAGAAATTCCTGATGAAGTGTCCAAAACCATTTGCTCCTTGCAGAATTCAGGATTTAAATGGGTCTGTGAGACCCTGGGATTTGGTGCTGTCACCCCCCAAAAACCTTGAGTTTGATAAAACTGTAATTCTAAGCCCAAGGCTTTTGGGAGGTGAGAGCACCAAATCCCAGGGTCTCATGAACCATTTAAATCCTGAATTCTGCTTTTACACAGTGGAAATAATGATGATGGATAATGAGAACTGCAAAGGTTAAAACTGCCTAATTTGCTTATTAGACCAAAGCAAGGAAAAGGTGACTTACCTGCAAATCTGTTCAGCTGAAAGCCCTGAAATCCAGGGGCAGCTTGGCAGGACCCAAAGGGGAAGTTTGGAGTTTCCTTCAGAGCCCCCCATCCACTGGCACCTCTGGATGCTGCCACGCTGAAAAAACCCAACCCAAACCAAAATAAACATTATTTTGGCAGCCAAGAGCAAGCTGAGGAGAGAAGGGCATGGTTTATTTCCACAAGCAGTACAAATCACTGACTCAAAAGTGCAAAAGAGCTGAACCAAAGCTTGTAACACAAATTCTAGAAGAGATTCCAGCCCCCAGAGCATGAATTTCAGTCCCAAGAAATTTGGGTGGTGAAAGGGGAGAGGATGGAGTCACCCAAAAGCTCTGCTGGCACATGTATTCAGACATTTTCTACATTTTTATCTTCACCTTCCCATTGAATTTTGCTCCTCAGGGCATCAGGGATAAATAAAACTTGTGATTCAAGATCAGCAGCACCATTTAAAGAGCCTGACCCAGCCGGCAGCACCAGCAGTGCTGGGAATGTTTAGTCTGGATTACATTGGTGCCTGGGATTCACCAGCATTCCTTACAAAACTGCTGCTTTGCTGGGGTTTGAACACCACAAGCTCCCAGATCAGCTTTCTGCAGCAGGAGTCATTTATTGTCCTGGGGGCACAGAGACTGGACTTGCTTTGAAAGTTTGGGGTGTGATGGAAGTTGATGGCTGTGCTGCCAGTGAGGCAATGCTGGCAAATCCCACTGCACCTAAATCCCACTCAGCACCAAAAAAAAAACCCCCAAACCAGGAAAACTGAAATAAATAAATAAATTAACAAATATCCTGAAGGATATTTTAAGAACTGCAATAAATCAGAGTTCAGCTGGACCACTCTGTCCTGTTCCTCTCACAAATAACTACGTCAGCGTCCCTTCTCCTCTCCAAATCCCTGAGACTTCCAGGCAGCAGAGAGATGTCAGCCCTGGGAATGAAGCACTCCACAAGAGCCCCAGGGTCATGGGAGAGTCCCCAGAGCAGCACCGAGGGGTGGCTCCTGTGCAGCTGAGCTCTCCCAGCACAGGGACGGTCCCTGGGCCAGCAGGAGCCAACAGAAACCGAAACTGGGCACAAGCAGCTTCTCCTCTGCTTTATAAAACCTTCCTGCAGCTGGGGAAATGCCAGTGCCTCCCTCCAGCACAGACCCCAGAGTTCTACCAGCACCCTTTCCCTCCGTGTGCCCGAGCCCAGGATCTCAGGGACTGCATTGTGTCCCTTCCTGGCTTCAAGAATCCCAGATTTGGGCCAGATTTGCTGTTTGTGTAAATCATGGATGTCTCCAGAGGAACTGCATTTCACAGCAGCAGATCTGCCCCACACCCACCCACACCACACTGGGGATCAGGGTTTTTATGTGCAGCAGCATCTCCCAGCACTTTGCAGATTTTAGATTCCAAGAGAGGAATTCTCCACCTTTCAAAGCACTGCCCAGACCCGAGATGATTTGCCAGGACCAAACCCAACACTTAGAGGTCACTTTAAAAGGTGACCTGCATCCTCCAGAGATTCCTGAGGCTCGATGGAATTCAGCTTTTCCTTTTAAGTCCTCCCAGAGCTACTTTTATCAAGTTTACTTCCAGCTCCTGGCCTGGGATCTCTCCTGTTAGACAAGAAGACAAGGCTGGAGAACAGGGGGGGTTTGCAGCCCAGATGTTGTAAATACCAGCACACACACAACTCATCCCATGGATCCAACAGGATCTTCCATCAGCTACTTTTGGCCCACTTACTTAAACAGGAAAAAAAAACAACAAAAAAATCAGGGATTAAATTCAATCAAATTAAACACCATGGTCACTACAAGGATCAAAGTTGGCTCTGGGAAAAACGAGCTAAATGTAATTTCCTGACAGGAAATGCTGCCCAGGAAGAATTAAAATAATTTAAGGAAAATATCTGAGGAATTCTTAGATGAGAACACACATCCTTTGCCTCCCACCCACCTCCCCAAATGAATTTTCACTAAGAAAAACTGCACAGTTTTAATAACAACCTTCTCTCCTGCAGGGTGGCTCTATGATTACACCCAGACCTACGTCTGCTCCTTCCTCTTTGCTGGAGCCTGCGCTCTCATCTCACCTATTTCCTTCTTCTTCGAGCCTGCAGCCCAAAAATGGAAGCTAAAAAAAGCCAATTTGAGCAAGAGCCCCAGGCCTGGCTGAAGTTTTAAAGGCTGGGCTTTGATGGCATCAATGCTGGGAAAGCCATTGCCTGTACTGGGAATGTATCAACAGCAGCCACATTGAAAACTGGAATTTTTGGATGCCAGAATCAGTTTGTATACCTGACTATTTCTCCTGATTAAAGCCATCTGTGAAATGCTGTGAAAGCAATGTGAAATGCCACTGTGCCTTTGCTCCCGAGGATTTTCTGCCTCTCAGATTTCATCCCCAGCCCGGCAGCTCCGTCCCTCCCCGCACAGAGCTGACTCACTCACCTCGTGGGATGAGCAGCCAGGGAGCTGCAAGTGCCAGAGATTTCAGCTCATTCTACTCACACACAAACAGCTGCCCCGGGGAGGGATGCAAGGGCAGGGACAGGGGGTCAGGGTGGTGCTTCCATGAGGATCAGCTGCTCCAGGAAGGGAGATCAGGGTGATGCTTCCATGAGGATCAGCTGCTGCAGGAAGGGAGATCAGGGTGATGCTTCCATGAGGATCAGCTGCTGCAGGAAGGGAGATCAGGGTGATGCTTCCATGAGGATCAGTTGCTGCAGGTCCCCTCTCTGAGGGAAGGATGCTGCACTGGGGCCATTCCACCTCCCAGGCACAGGTGCAGAGGACCTGGAGGCAAAACCAGTTTGAATTAAAGCCAGAACCACGACACAGCAAAGTCAGAGACCAAAGCCACCCCTTGGCCTCCCCTGCCCTTCTCCCCAGCTCCCCATCCAGAGACTCCCAGGGATTCCAGGGGCACACAAAGGCAGCCTGCATTCAACCAGCATCCCACAGATTTCATTTGGATGGGTAAGGCACAACACAGCAGCCCTGACTTTCTTTCCAGTAGTGAAGGTGCAATTTTTTGCATTATCACCAGGTATTTGAAATTATTAGGTCGACCTGGAATATCCATTCCAGCCAATAGCATTATCCTTTTTAGCTTTCCCTTTTTAAAATTATTAATTAATTTTATTGTAAATGTTTCCCAATCTTTACTTTTATATAAATTATTAAATTATCATTATAAAATTAGAATTACAAAATAATTATTTATTTTAATTATTAATTAAAATAAGAATTAATTATATTAATTCTTATATATTTTTATTTTTATATATAATTAAATATATATTTTAAAATCTTATATATTTTTATTATATTAATTCTTATATTAATTTTATTAAGCTATCATTTTATTATTTATCTTATTAAAATGTTTAAATTATTAAGGAGATTTAATTATCCTATTTTTTCTCACCCCTTTTGTTAATTTTATTAATTTATTATTTTTAAAATATTAATATTTTTAAAATATTAAGGAGATTTAATTATCCTATTTTTTTTCCTCACCCTTTTTACTTCTCATCCACTTTTTTAAAATTAAGGTGGCAAGAGAGTTGTTTCCCCTACAGAAACACACCTTTAAACTGTGAAACAGGTTATTTTAAGCCCAAAATTAGGTGGTTTGTATTTAATAAAAAGCTACAGAATATTTTAACAGTTTCAAGGAGCACCAACAGTGTCACAGGTAAGAAAGTTCCTCCATAGATGAAGGGCCAAATCCAGCAGTTACACAATTACACAGTGCCAAAGAAACTGTCCTTAAATGAGGGAAAAATTACAGGGAATGGGGAATATCAGTGCTACAGAGCAGCTCATTCTTCCTACTCTGCTCCACAGCTTCTCCCAGGAATCTGGAGGCAGCAAGTGCCCTGGGAATGTTCCTTCCACACTGGAACCATCATCCCTTTACCCCCTAAACCCCAGCAGGCACCACTGGGATGGAGCAGCTCACATCTGCATCCAGGACAGGATCCCCAGGGTTCCCAAGCCACCAGGATTCCTGGATAAGAGTATTATTTCTGAAGTGTTTAAGGCACTGGGAGCTGAAGGGGATGAAGTGGTGCTGCACTCAGCCAATCCTGCACTGAGGCCTCAGCCAAGCCCTTCTGCAGCAGGGATGAAGCTTTCATTAAAAAAAACAGAGTTTTCACCTCTTGAAATGAAGCTCCTCACTCTCACCAAATCAAACATTACCACAGCTTTGCTTTGCTGCTGTTACAGGAACCATGTGGGAGCCCTGGCTTCACATTCTCCAACCCTAAAGCTTTAAATCCCCACTTATTCTGCATCCCCCTAAGAGCTGCTGTGCTTTTGGCTTTTAACAGAGCGGGACCAAAGCAATGTGGGGTTGGAAAGAGCCACTCCACCAGCTCCTCACCCTGCTGCTCCCACTCTACACAATTCCAACACCTTTCCCTGTAAATGAAGCCTCTGCTCAACACCTTCCTCCTTCCAACACCTCTTTCATTTTCACCTCTTCTGCCACCAAGAAACAACCTGGCAGCATGTGGTGCTCACACCTCCCATCCCACCTGCTGGAACAAAGCTCTTCTCCACACCTGCAGGATCTCAAGGAGAGTCCTGCCCTGTCTATGCCACCAATTCCTTATCCTTATTTAGCAAAATGGGAGTGCTTGTCCCTCCTTCCTTTCCTTCTGCAGAGGAGCAAACAGCTCAGGAGCTCCCATTTCCCACATCCCAGCCCATGGATGGGCACCACCAGCCTTTATTTGCCCCCAGAAGAACCCTGCACAGGCAAAGCACCGTTCTCCAGCCACAATTACCTCTTGTCTAGCCAAAATTGTTGAGGAAACCAATGCCCACAATGAGAAACTGCTCCCAGGAGCCCTGCACCATCCTGCCAGTGGGCTGGGAGCGGGGTGAAGACTCTTCAAACCTTTGTCCTTCCACAGAGCAGGCCCAGGGTGAGGGCTGGTGGTCACTTCTCTGCTCACAGCTCGTGCTGGGAAGGCAAGCACACAACAGAGGCTTCAGTTCCCCCAGCAGCTCCGAAAACCAAAGGCATTTATTTACTGCAGGACACAAGAGGTGCATGAGAGGAACCAGCAGTGAGCAGGATGGGAACATCTGCCACCAGGAAGGTTTTCCCACCCCACTGAAGTCACCCTGCAGTTCACTTCCTAAAGCTGGTTTTGTAGTGCAGAACACGACAGGCTGTGGGGAGAAATGTGAGAGCAGGAGTTGCTGGGGCACAAATGAGGTTAAAAGCTGCAATCTGAGGTAGACTAGAAAATCCCTTTTGTCCCTGCTCCCTTCACAGAATTCTGGAATCTATAAGGTTGGAAAAGCCCTCCTGGATCATCGAGTTCAACCTGTGCCTGATCCTCACCTTGTCACCAGCCCAGAGCACTGAGTGCCACGTCCAGGCAGCCCCTGGGCACCTCCCCAGGGATGGGGATTCCAAACTTCCCTGGGCAGCCCCTGCCAAGGCCTGAGCACCCTTTCCATGCAGAAATCATTCCTGGAAATTTTTCCCTTACTCAAAGGAAATTCTTCCCTTACTCATCTGTGGTAGAGAAAATCAGCAGCAATGGCTAAAAATGACCCTCAGCATGAAAAATGCTTTGCTGAAAGGTGGTGCCCTCCCAGCCATCCCTGCTGGTCCTGGGAAGGCAGTGGAGAACCGGATCCCTCCTGCCTTCCAACCCTCGTGTCCCTCACAGGCAGCATCTCCACACTTTGCATGGCAAAGAAATCACCAACAACCTCCTGGATCTTCCCAAGAAGAGAACTTCAACCAAATAAATCAAACCCCTTGGAGAACCAATGCAAATCTGTGCCCTGAGTCACCTGAGGGAACATTTTCCTGCCCAAGCTCATCCCCTGCACGTGGGATGTCATGGCCAGCTGGGTCTGGATGGGAAACTGCATTTGGAAGCACTTTAACCAGGATTCTTTGGTTTAAAAACCTTCTAAAATTCATGGTGCAGAGAAATCAAATGCTAAAGAATTCTCCAGAGATCCAGAGACCTGCAGGGAACCAGAGCTGGCTGGAAGGAATCTAAATGCCCGAAGGAAACCAAGAACTCAGCCTCCAATTTTCACTGTACCCCAACAAAAACCTGCTACAACACCTGAGTCCCTCTGGGAAAAAAACTTCACAACTTCATTTAGATAATTACTTTTCTGAGCACTGACAGACAGAGGACTGATACCCTGAACCCTGATTAATTTTAGCAGCAGAGGATTAAGAAAGCAAGAGGAAAACATGAACAAGACATGGCAGGTAAGGCTCACTCCTGGGTTTGTGTCATCCTTCCTGGGAAGGAAACGCTTTTCCATTGTTAGCCAGTGATTTACTCCCAGGTGTAATCCTGAAGGAGGAGCCTGGGCAGCCTCCAGGACCTGCTCCCAACGCTTGCCAGGCGCCTGGGCAGGATTGATTTATGGGGTGAGCACCTGCTGGGTCTTAAACCAGCTTCAAGTGATGTTCCACATGCCAGGATAAAAAGCTGCTAAGACTCAGCTGGTGTCTATCAAAGCTATGGAAATCGGTGCACTTGGAGATCGCATCAGGAAACTCACTGCAACCCTGTTCCCACTGGAATTATTTTATATTATTAATTTATACAGTCATTGTACACCCCTGAGTGTCCTGGCTACCAGCTGCTTCCTTCTTCTGTATTCTGGGGCATTGAAAGGCAGGACAGAGCTCCTAGGACATGGATTTAGGCATTTCAAAGTACACAATATAAACCCCTCCCTCCTCAGGCACTGCCCTTGATAAAAACCATAATCTACTAAAAAGCAAGGCTGTGAATTCCCAGCTCTCCTCAGATGCCAACAGCAGATAAACCCAGGCACTGGACACACAGGAAGCTGATCCTGACGTTTATCATGTAATAAGGAACAATCTTTATCTCACAATGAAATCCCCTCCAGGGGCTGGGCTGGGATTATTTCGGTTGTTTCCCCAAAGTGCCCGAGCTCTGGGTTTGCTTGCAGAGCTGTCTGGGAATCCCACAGCCCCTGAGAGGGCTGAGAGCAGGGTGAGGGGCAAGAACTCTGGGTTTAACCCAATCCCTGGGATCTCCCTTCGACCCTTCCCACGGCTGTTTGAACCCAAACCCACTGCAAAGCTGCTCCCAGCACACTCATTAACCACAGGGGAGGAAATCTCCATAATTCCCATTTTAAATGTGAACAAGAGGCTTTTTCACAGCTGTGGCAGCACAAAATACACCCTGACAAGGTGCTTCAGCTACCAACACTGTGTTTACCTTTAGCCACATGAAGAAAGCCAAAATTAATTAAAAATAGCTGGGTAAGGATATGACAACAGGGCCTTCCAGCAACAGGAAACGTGGCTGTTCTTCCCTCGCCCTGTTTGGCAGATACTGCATGGTCTGGGCTGTTTACTCGCCCTCACACACACTGATAACAGGAACACTCTTTTTTTGGTCCTGGTTTCCCCCTCCCTGGCCTGGAACACGTCCTGCAGCTGTGTTTAGCATGCAGAGCGTTATTAGGCTACAATTCACCAGAGCCTGAAGTAAAAAGTTTCACTTCTGAGGAGCTGAAAGCCTTCATAGAAGGTGGGAGTTGTTTGGAAAATAATAATAAAAATCTTTAAAGATATCATAATGTTTTTTACTGAAGTCCATGGGAATTTATCAGCAACTGTAATGAACGAAAATTAAAGCAGATGTTGGAAACCCAGAAGTTTTAGCTTTAGCTGAGATCCTCATGGGAAAACTTTCCAGCCTGCAGAAACCACAAAGGGGATGGGAGCTCATGGCCACAGACAATTCCAGAAGTAATTAATGGGTCAAAGTCTCTTTTCCAAAGCAGACTTTGCCTCTGAAACCACCACCAAGCTTTGCAAAACTTTCCCCTACAGATATCACTGACGTGGGCAAGATAGAGCCAGGATTGTACTCTGGAAGAAAGAGGCAAAGGGTGTTTTTACAACTGCCCAGGGACAGAGAGAACACCAATAAACTGAGCTCCAGCCCCTCAAGCCTCTGGACAAGCTGGAAAGGAGCCACAGCCACCCTGGCTGACACAAGGGTGGTCACAGGGATGGGGAATCTGGGGCTGGGCTCCCCCAGCCTCAAGCTGCTGTTGGGATGCAGCTCTGAGCGCCACGAGGAACAGCAAAGGCATTTTCAGAGAGCTGAGAGCTCCGAACATGCTGTGCCTTAGTGCCAGAGGGGAAAGCTGGGCTGCCAGAGCTGCAACACAAGGTTTTAGAAGCACAAAGCCCAGGAATGCTTTGGGTTGGAAGGAACCTTAAAGCTTATCTTGTTCCTCTCTCTGCCATGGGCAGGACACCTTCCCCTTGCCCAGGCTGCTCCAAGCTCCATCCAGCCTGGCCTTGGACACTGCCAGGGGTGGGGCAGCCACAGCTGCTCTGGGCACCCTGTGCCAGGCCCTCCCCACCCTCACAGGGAAGGATTTCTTCCGATATCAAACCCAATTTCGCCTGTTTCAGTTGAATCCACTCCCTTTGTTACTCCAGTTCCTGGTGAAGGCTCCCTCCTGGATTCTTGTGCAGATTCTTGTTTTCACCCACCCGAGGAGCGGCACGAGAAACACCAACATCCCCTTTTCTCACCGTGGGCTCCCCACGAGCCTCAGTGACAGCAGCTCAGGTGCTTCAGGACCTCATCCTGCCCTGAACCTCTGCCCAGGTCAGAGCTGGCTATGACCAAAGCAATCCCTTGGCCAAGGGGGCTGCAAACACCTCCACGGCCCAAAGGACATCTCCTCTCCATGGGCAAACAGCTCAACAAGCACCTGGGGGACCTCGCTGGCTTCCCTTCCCTCAAACCCTTCTGCACCCCTCATGTGTCTTCACACACACGTTTGTGTCCTCACACACACGTTTGTGTCCTCAGGTAAATCTGAAGTGTGCAATTGTACAGCCTGGAAATGCAGCAGATGCATCTGAGAGGAGAGACCGGCTGGAGGATCCAAGTGCTGCACAAAGGGCAGAAATGCCAGGGAAAGCTGCCAGCTCAGGGCTGGGGCAAGCTGTGTGCATTGCTAAACCTTGGCCTGACCTGTCACTGGATCTGGGGACAGGAAATACTCAAGAGAGCTAAAAATCTCCAGCCCGATCTTCAGATGCAATTGCAGAACGAGGTATGAAGGTCGAGGCAGGCAGATAAGGAGATGAAATAGCTGCAACCCACAATTAATCTACAGCTCATCTGCTCGTCTGTGGAGCCAAGCACATCCCATCCCCATCCTGGGACATCACACACGAGCTCAAACCCGGGAGCCCAGGCACAGGAGCTGGGCTGGGAGGTGGCAGCTCATTAATGCACAGCAACAGCAGCGTGTTTGACAGCATCCACACCCCCGGGCTCCAGCGTTTAATTAATACATCCCTGCAGCGGGATACAAAGGGGGGAGAAAAAGGCAACCTTTGTTGTCCACGTTCTCTGCTCCTACTACAGGCACCTGCAGCCTGTGGACAAACAGGATGAACAGCAGGAGGCTCCTGTCAAAGCCATCACAGCACGTGCAGCTGACCCGGTCCCTCAAAGCTCACTCTGCCGCAGGAGTTCACCTCACCCAGTTCTCAAGGCAGCTCTAATTACACTCAGGCACAGGGCTCTGAGCCAAGAACCGCAGGAGACACAACGGGAATCACAAAGCCATCAGCCCAAGAGCCTTTCCAGTGCTCTGCCTGTTTCACCAAACCCTTTTTGGTCTTTGCCCCAGACCTCGGGACACGAGACGGGAGCGGATCCTCCAAGAGCATTTGCCATTTCATAGTAAACCAGCAGCGTGAAGCCAACACAAGCTTGTTATTGGCCATGAGCAGAATCTGGGCCATCTGATGTTTTAAACTTATTAATTCAGCTGCAGCTGGTAAAAGCACAGTTCTAAAAAAACGTGTGAATTCAAATAACCGGCTCCCATCTAATCCGCTCGCACGGCTCTCTGCTGCAGTGCAGTTAATTAAATGGTTCTCCTTATAAATCCACTTTCCCCAGAAGTCTCATTAGCCAAATTAATATGATGCATATAGAGCACTTAACCCTTCCAAGAGACTGGTTTTAACAACAGCCTGGCTCTACCTGGCCACTGGAGCACCCCTCTAAGCCCTTCAGAAGGCAGAGGGGCAGACCCAGCACTGGAAAAACAACTCGCTAGTGCACAGCGACCGTAGGAGAACCATCCCACGATAGCTCCGAGTCTCTGGAATAAAAAGATGATGTAAAGGAGACAGGGAACCATCTCCCAGTGAAACAGACAGTGAAATCTGACTCAGAGAGGCAGAACTCTCCTGGAATAGCCACGGACACTTGGAAGCACACCCAAAAAGTGGGACAGTGCCCAAGCCCTGGCACAAACACCTGAGCAGGTGACCAGCTTGCCAAAAAGATCCCTTGTTTTGGGGTACACTAACAGATCACCCATCTCCTGTCAGCATCAACCCCCCAGCCCAGGCAAAGGGGCTGAAACACATCTCCCATTATCGCTACCAGCCCCAGACCTATTGTACAACACTTCAAAGGAGATTAAGAGGTTGTATCTCAACAGCACAAGAAATGCATTGCAAAAATAGGAATTTTAACTACAAACACCAACTTCTAGAAGAAAAGGCATCTCCTGAGTCTCCTCTCTCCAATTCCCTTCCCTCATAACCAGCAATACCTACAATTGCTCCCATTTACAACAAAAAGCTTCATTTAAATTATTACACCAGCATCCCACAAACACAGCCAATTTGCCAAATCATTGGCTTGGCTTTCCTTATCAACACATACAAATTATACACACTACTCTGGGTTAAAGCAGTGTTAATTCAAGCAGTTCATGAAGTCAAAATAACAGCTCCAGCTTGCCAAGCTGAGAACTCGTAGCTTGATGTGCACAGCCCTGTCTCTTAACGGAGCCCCCCAACAAACAGGGAAGCACATCCAAGAGTCGGCTCCTTCGCTCCCATTCCCGAGCGGGCGGAGCGGCTCGGTGACTGAAGAGAACACAGTTAGCAAGCATTAATAAACTGGAGAATCAACACAACAAAAGGTGAACAACAATCTTCTTTTACATCACAACTCAGTCCAACCTCTTCCAGCCCCTTACCTGTTTTAGGGATTTACACAGCGCTTTGCCCCGGGAACAGACACCTTGCAGAGCACAACCACAGCATCCGTCGGCTGAGAGGCGTCTGCAGCCTAGCAAAGATCCTGCCCGGCTGCAGGGGGTTATCCATGGAGTTAATGTCAAGGCAAACAGGGCAAGCTGCCGTTCAAGGCGTCTTCGTGGCACGTCACAAGAATTCTACCACGAGCACAAACGCGGGAGCTCCCGAAGCCGGCGATGCAGCGGTGGCAGCTTCCTCTCGACGGCCGCGGTCCTCAGGAAGTCTCCTGCAGCAAACACGGAGTTGTGCTCCTGCACGGGAACAGCCTTCCAAAGCTCAGGAGCCCCCGGGACAGGAGAACTACAGCACACAACGTTTTCGGGCCGCCTCCGGCTTTTTCTCTCCCCGTCTGTACTACACCGGGAGCGACTGCACGGAGCGCGCGGCGGGGCCGGGACGCGAGCAGGGCACATGCACATCCGAGGCGTGTGGAACCACTGGCTTCAAAACCGGTCAAAATAAGGCACTGAGACACCACGCAAAGGTTTAAATTACCGCCTCCAGCTCTCAGGAACTCTTCATCCATTCAGCACTAAACCCACAACTGCTGAAAAGCCCCTGGAGATGGAGGAGCGCCTCGCGTACGGCAGGAAAGGCTTTATTAACAGCATTTAAACACTTTTAAGGACTCATTTCTCTTTTTCTTTTGGCAATTTTGGTGCAAAGGTTTTACGTGCAAGATTCAAAGCAATTTCAAAACTTTTTTTCTTCAAAATTAAAAAAAAAAACCAAGAATCAAAACTAAAGGCAAACACGTTGGGTGAACAAAATAAATCAGAAACTTAAAATTCAGGAACTCCAGCTCTTCCAACCAGCGAAGCCCCAGACTTGGCCACCGTTCCGAGGCGCAGGGCGGTGCTCCCCTGCTTCTTGTGTGCCAGCAGCAGCACGGCTGCCCCGTCCCGCTGAGGAGAAACGCAGCAAGTGACCCCTTTTTCACTGCAAACACGGGGGCCACAGCAGGGCCAGCAGGCACAATTCTTCCGACTGGTACCACAGGTCGATCAACGCCAAAGTGTCGGTGCTCTCCCTGCTTCTTGCTCAAGACCCACAACTATCAGCTCAATTGGGCAGCAGCAGCAGGAACCCCTCCGCTGCCAACACAGGGGCCAAACGTTTGTCGTCAATTCACTTCCAGGCAGAAAAACCATTTTCCTCAAAAGAAACAATTTATTTAGAATGAAACAAAATCAGCTCAACTGTGAGCGCATGTTTGAGTGACAGCTACTTTTAAGCTGTGTGAGCCATAAAAAGGGTATTCCTTTACTTTTCCAGCAATCTTGTGTACACAGCACAAAGCAAAGAGGTCATTTTTTTTTTTTCCACTTAAAACACGGGCATTGGCATCACAATAGCAGATACACAACTTTTTTTTTTTTTTTTTAAAGCTGCCATTTTAGTAAAATGCACAAATACTAAACAGATAAGCTTTCTTCCACCAGGAGGCCCATGTAAATTCCACATAAGCCACAGCTTCTCTTCCCAAAGGTCCATTAGAGCTTGGTATCCATTGCGGTTGTCTTCTGCAGTCCACCAGATTTGCTTGCAGGAGGAAAAAAAAATGTTATTTCAATACAAATGTGTACACCAGATCTGGGTTTCTCCCCTCCCTACATTATACAGATGAACGTAAAGAGCTATGAGGCTTTTCTGAATATTCTATTTGGACTTCAAAAAGCACCAAAACCACCCACGGGCATGAAACCTCGGAATGAAGTCGCCTTCTAGGGATAGATGCAAAACAAGTAGTGCAGGGCTTTTTTGGACCAGGATTAAACTAGGCTTACAGTACTGATGATTACTCAACTTGCAGTAACACATCAAAATCATTAACCAGGAGAAAAACCAACCCAATTCTTGCTAATTTGGTTGACTTTCCTCGCTGGGTATTTCCTGAAGGAAACTCATCAATAAAACCGTGAAATGTAGTGTTACACAGCTCTTTTGCTCTCGTTTTGCTGTGCAGTTCTAACAGCAGACAGTGCCAATATTAAAAGGTCAAATCAAAGACACACCCAATATAATTTAGAATTGTTACTATTCAAGTCATATCTCCTAGCCATCGTTTTCACACAATCAGAACTGCAGGAAGATGAATATTCAATGAACCATTCTCTGCATCACCCGGTCTGCTTTAAGCCTGATACAAAAATCACCTCATTGTTCAGTCTATCGATCATTAGATTATCTGTCCTTCGGTGCTATAGAGAAATAAACAAGGGGACAAAAGGGAAAGAACCTCAAAAGCTCTAGAGCCATGTGGCAACCATTTCTTCCCCTCTGGGTACACAGCACTCCCCAGGAGCGCTGCTCTCAAACACTGTTTTGCTTACAGCCAGGAACTACCATTTTCCAAGCCATTTTTCCCTGAGTCCTCAGAGTTTCTGAACTTGTCTTCACAATTTTGATTCACTCCTCCTCCCCATTAATACCTCAGGCCTTTCACCTCAGTTACCATCAACCAGAGGGTTCCCAAACTCACACGAGAAATTAAAACTCGTTCTTCGTAAAACTTGGCTCTCCACAGAGGCCAAGAAAGTTGTCACCAAAATATTCCATCTTTATAGGAAACAAAAGAGAGAGAGGGCAAGGTTTGCCTGGGAATAATGCCCTTTTCTCTCTGTGAGGCTGACAAGGATGTGTTGGTATTTGTGCCCCTAAAACCTCTGGATTGAGGATAACCTCGGTGTTCCTGTGGGAGCAAACAAAGCCACTGGCCAGAGGCCAAGGGAGTTGCACAAAGTTTCCAATTGAAAGAAATAAAAACAACAAACTAAAATCTCAAACAAAACTACGAGTCATTTGAGGTTCTTTCCCCAGAGCACGAAGCATAAAGATGAAATGATTGAGGAAAAGGGCATCCTTTTTCCAGGCTAATTCAACACGCCAATGAAATAGAAGAACATCAGCTGCACACGAGGTCGGGAGGGAATACTGAGCTCTCACCAGAGCAATGTAATGCCAGACACAAGGAGAGAGCCAACAACTGCTACATCTGGTTTGCTCTGCACACAGTGGTATCACCCACAGGCTCCTAAACCTTCAGCCCTGGCCAAGCCAACTTCAGTGGACAGTTACTCCAATGGGGAACACCTCAGACCAAGGAGGAAAGCCCAGCCCGCCCGGCTGCACCCGGGATGGCAGCACGGGAATTCAGTGCCGGCAAAAAGAAAAAGCTGCCAAAGTTTTGCCACAAGAACCCTCAAAGGGTGTTAAAATCCTTGCTTACAAAACAGAGCAGCAACCACAAATAAACCAGATTCAAAGAAGCAGGTGCTCCATTAAATAAGGAACCAGAAAACCTGGAGTCAAACACAGCCTCACCTGTTCCTTCTCGCCCTCCAGCACAGCACAACAGGCAGTGGCAGGTGGAACCATGGTGATTTTCCAAGGAAAAGTGGAAGTGCACCTAGCATGCTCTTCCCAAAAAGCTTCCCAAACCAAGCTGGCTTTCACAAGCTATGCTGACCCCAAGTTTTATGGGATTTTTAGCAGGTGCCTGCTGTGGATCAGCGGAACAAATGCTGCTCTCAGTGACTTTAAGTGTCCAACACAAACTTCAGTGCTTTTTTTTTTTCCCGGTTTTGGGCAGATTTAAATTCCCAGCTATTCAAGTCTCTTTCCTGGAAAACTCTTGCAAGTGATTTCTGTTCAGATGAAATGAGAAAACTCCCTCTGAATGCAAGCATTGATCACCTGCTGACACACAACAGGCACCTGCTCCAATTAAAACATTCTTTGCAGTAAGTGGTAAACACACTGTAGCTTCTTAAACACAGTGATTTGCATTTCTGGTGCCATTCCCAAAAATTCTCATTGTTAATAGTAAGCTGAACAGCTGAATTCTGCCATTTCTTACATTCACATTGAAGGACAACCCAGAAATCCTGGGTTTTACTCTCAAATTTAAGAGCATTAAATGAGGCTTTCACCTTTTCATTTAGAAAGAAAAGTAACTACAAAAACTGTGTTTAAGAGATGCTGCCACATGGGAATTCTCAGTTCACCACGATGTTCGGGATTCTGGGTCCACTCATTCTGGGCAGATAAAGGAATCAAAGCCCTCTTAAACCACAGCCCTCTCTGACAAGTGGTTCAGTAATAAAAATTCCTATTTTTGTGACAGAAACTCAAGCAAGTTCAGTTACACCCATGAAATACATTCAAAACATTTCCTCCTTCATCTCCTATTCGCATCCTATTTCACACCTTGAATTTGATTTTTGCCATGCAAGTTGTAACAGAAATCAACCCATGCCTGTATCAATTATCCACGGAATCTATTGGAGCATGGACCTAGTCAGGCAGCATCTCTTCTCCGTTGCCCAAATCCCTGAAAACGTGGCTAAGTGCAAGATTACATTCTGGGTTTAAGTGCAAGATTACAATTTTGGGGCCTGTAAAGAGATACAGTGAGATTTACACTTCAGTTTTAGAAGCTGCTGCAACATCCTTTTTGTTGGTAAACAGAGTATCATGGAATTAGATCCCATCAGGGATTGAGATCCCTTCTTGCCTCCTAAATGCCTGAATTACCAAGGTGGCTAAAACAGCTGGAGAAAAGTGCCCAATAATTGGGGAAAAATAAGAAAAAATTAACTATGTTCTTTGAAAAAAAAAAAACAAAAAACAAACAACCTGCAAACCATTTCATCTTTGAATCACAAGAACAGGAGCTCAAACCTCAGTGTCTTGGAGGATTTTTTTAGTATTTCTCCAAGATGCTAAAACCACTTTACTCCAGGTGCCCGTGATAAACCTCATGTAATGCCCACTGCACACTGTACCTGAAAAGTCCCTAGCAGACAGCAGCTCCTTGCTATTAACAAAGAGGTAAAATGTTAATGAGAACTTTTATGTAATTAAATTATCACAGAATGAAAAGCATCTCTGGAGAGAAGCACTTCCTTGCTCAGTTTGCACTGTGGAACCAGACCCCACTGAACCTGCAACTCTTGGGAAAAAAAACCCAAAAAACAAAACAAAACAAAAAAGGCAGTAAAACCAAAACCCTACAATATAACTCAAGTTCTCCTTAAAGCACCTCCTTGTTTCCTGCACACCAGAGTGAGCACAAGACATTCCTGGTTTGCAACAAAGTCCTCAGCTCTTCACCAAACCTCGTCACTGCTACAAACCCAAAGTGCACATATGGGATACAGCGGGAAATCAGGGAAATACACCTGTTAAAAAGCCCAGTTTCAGTGCATGCACCTGGGGGGCTGGATGAAAAAGGAACCCCTTTCCAAAAAGGAATTCAGTGTTCTGCTGTGTACCCGAGAGCAGCTGCTGCTCACCTGAAAAACGTCGACCTTGAGCCACGCGACTCAACGGGGAAACCACTGCGGCTCCCGAGGGAAGGGATCCCGCGGGCCAAAGGGCCGCTGGCCTGGGGCCAACACGGAATTTCAAGGACTCAAAAGAGGGGCTGATACCAGTCTGTTATTAAAGTGTGGTTTTCCATTTCCACTGAGTGCTTTAAATCTGGTCTGTTCTGTTTGGAGCTCTCTCGAGAACGAGCTCTTGGGACTTGCTTTAAAATACATGAAATGAAAAAAGGACATGGATCTAAATGAAGAAGACAGGAGTTTTTTGTTTTTTTTTTTCAAAG